CTTCTGAGCAGCTAGTATATTCCAGAAACACTCACATTCCTGACAGGCCTGCACACTGGGAGTTATGATGCCCACTTTGTAGAGGAGAAGATTAAAGTCTCTAGTTCAAGTTGTCTGAGTTTGGGTAAATTAATTTAAATCAATATATGTGGCAGACTCAGGCTGTTTGGCCTCCTATTTTCTTTCACGTCATTCACAGATGAGTTGTTCTGGGAAGAAGGAATCACTTGGTGAACACCACTTACTTAGAAGGAATATGGTCCTTCCTGCAGTGAGCAATGCCCAGCCCTGACCCCAACCTTACATCCCTGCCCGGCTTCATCCAAAACAAGTAAGGCTGTCGCAGTAGGAGAGATTACAGAGCCAACATGGGACAGGCCAAAAAAGGCTCTTGTCTCCAAGTTTCTAAGGCGTATACATTTCAAAGTGAATGAGATAATGATTTAAACAAAGGAAGAGCTGGCATTTTCTTTCACTCCTTTTTGCTTGGCAATGCATAAGCAGCCAGCTCAGCCTGGCAGTCAGTTTGCTCTATTGAAGGAAATTGGGTGCTCCAGAAAAGCCTGCTCGTCCTCCAGGGAGTGTTATGGGCAACACCAGAAACCTCCGTGTTCACCCTGTTTCCAGGCAGGGCAGCGACATTCAGAGTCACAAAAGTTCACGCATGTTCTCTGTCTGCTTGGTCCCAAGATCTGAGGATCTGTACAGCAGCCATTCAGGGACCAGCATCTGGGAAGGAGGAATGTGGAGGACTACGTGTCTGGCACTTGGCTCTGTCTGCTCTTCCTCCAAAGATTTCTAAAATGTCTATTGTTCCTCAGAGATGTTTTTCCCCCTCTGTAATTAATTACTATGTGGTTGAGAAGATTCACAGACTAGCAGAAAATACTGAGTGTTGAAACATATGAAAACAATTAGAAAAGAAGTAAAATCACGTGAAGCCTATAATTCAGTTAAAAAAGAGTTTACTTCTCCAATGGGAAACACAGAGTAAGAAAACTCAAATCTCCATGGCATTTTAATTCAGGGGAAGTGGATCTTGGTTCTTATTTTATCCTCTTAAAAACAGAAATCCTGGCTTCTTTGGCAGAGCCTTATATAGGGGGGTAATCAAGTTAACATGATCATAAAATAGAAGAAAAGGTAGTTTATAGACTTTTTTTACTTCGATAGAAACTAATAAATATTAAATGCCACATGTTTATTAAGAAGTCCTATTTTCTGTCCCTGGATGCGAAGATACCTCCTTATATATTGATTCGCAGGGAGCTTGGGACTTACAGGTTTCTAATCTCATGTGACAATGGAATAACATGAACCTTTGCTCCTTTTGTGTATATTGTTTTAAAAGTACTGCAAGGAGGTATTTGAGAATCCTTAGGAGGCAGACAAACAGAAAAAAAATGGTCTACAAAAATAAAACATTGCTCTTTGTCTGTACACACTTCCCCTGGCACATCACACACACCCACATGCTTACTCGCCCCAGCAAACACTGACTTTCCCAGCTGAGAAATGGGCCCTATGAAGGATCTCAGGCTTCCTATTGGGTCTACAGATGTGATACATCCAGATGAATTCATCTGAATGTCAAAAGAGGAGACTGAGGTTAAAATGCCTTGAGAGACATCAACATATTTCAGTGATTTATATTCACCAAGAATCCTTTTCTTCTTCATGATATATATTTCATTCCAACTAAGCAACTGTCTCCCACATTAAAAGCAGGACCCCCAAATGTGGATAAACTTAGAATGACTCTCAACTCTATTGTGGCTTGCAAAAAGTTAAGTGACAAAAACACAGACACGCCTGGCTGGTGGCGTGGTATGTATAAAACATTTATGACTAAGCAAGCAGCTGAAAAAATCCGCCTCACAAATGAATTCTAGGCGACTGGAGCAGCTATGCTGCATTGCCACTGGGATAGTCTCTCTATGCATATTTATCCTGAACCCAATTTTAAATGCTAACTTTGAAGCTTTCGGGTGTGATGATATTCACTGATCTGCAAACTTCCGCTTAATAGAGTTAATATGCGTGAAAGAGGTAAAAAATTAAGTCAGGTATCATCGATGGGAGTAAAAATGGCTATAGATATACTGCATATATTAGACATCAATCAGAATTACATTTATAAACTGTGATTCCACGTTTGTGTACTGAATGGGAGTTGTCATGCGAAAGGTCAATGTTTTATTGCAAAATAAGCCTCAAAGTTCCTAAGGTGTCACAGGATATTTATGGAAACCCCTCCTGTGCCCGACTTGTTTTCCCTGCATCATTATTTTGCCTGGATATACCCAAACAATTCAGTGCAGCTCCTCATCCACCTCCCTTTGCCCTTTTGGAGGTTCAAAAGATGATGACAGTGATGATGATGACAATGTCCCCGGTAAATATTAGCTTAAAGTCTTCACAGATAAGAGAAAAATTAAAGTATATGTGTCAAAGATATTAAGATTAAATTTAAAATAAATTGATACCCTTATCTGTATTATTTACTACATACACCTCCTGTGTCCTGGACTTTGAGACAGAAGCGGGAAGTCTGGAAAATGGCATGCAGGGAGAGGATACTATTCTCGGCGTCGAGCCCAGTCTGTGGTACAAGTAGATGCTGGACGGATGAAGAAAAAGTACATATCTGACAGGTTCTTAGAGTAAAAATGAAAATAAAAACACTGGGTTCTTTTTTTAAAGAAGATTCTATGATATGGCATTTCCTTATTTGAGAAAACTGTTTATAAAACAAGCACGATTTTGTTGGAGTTTTCTAGAAGCACAAACATGTTTAGAATCAGCATGACTGTCTGTGGGATCCCACAGACAGAGAAGCATATTTCTGGTTTTTATTAATCCAAAGTTACTCTAGGATTAAATCTATCTAAATCATGCCGGATATTTCTATTAAGACCTATACCACTGAAGCAGCCGCATACGGACTTGTACCGAGACATGGAAATGTTCTGCTAAATGTGTAGGAGACAAAAGTGGTGCTGTGGTCACAGCACCTTACTCTGGCCACCAGGTCAGCTGTGACTCACTCTGTAATCACTTACTGTCACTGACCCTCAGTTTCCTCTTCTGAAAAATGAGAGGATCACCTGCCTTCTGGAAGTCAATGAAATGGCAAGCGGCAAAAGAATTTCCAGTGTAAAATTCCTATGAATGCCAATTTGTGACAGCTTCTCAAAATGCTTTGTAACACTAGAACTGTATTTTGCTATGGCTTTGATGGCTGAATGTCTCCATCCTGTGTGTAACACGAAGCCATCAGAATTGTATACTAGTGCCTTTGTTACAACTAAGAGGAGTAATTACTCCACTCTTTGTTACATGCTTCAGAAATGGAGACAAAGTCAATCCTACTTACTGCTCCCTTAACACAAAGAAAATAAGTGGGTTTTTGTAAGCCAGCCTAACTATGTAAAGAAAGTGTTTCACATTTCAGGACACTGCTCTCTTGTGATATATAAAATGACATAGTGAGCCATTTAGGAGTAGTCTGAAAACTAACAAGGCACAAATATTATTGCTAGGTAAATCCCGCAGCCCACAAATGATCGACCACAAGTACAGCATCCAGACAAGGTCTTATCAAGCAGCAAGGAGGTCAGTCTTCACCTCCACTTAAAATAACCCAGGACTCAGCAGAGACTACTTGTTCAGAGGAGGGAAAAGCGATGCACTGGGAAGAGCAGGAAGCAGTAAACAAGACGAAGAGTCCCACTGGCTAGACAGATTCCAAACCTGCGGCCATGCAGAAAGCCAGCCGGGCCAGCCCTCCGCGGGCAGAGCTAACCTGGCAAAACGCTGCGCTGCAGGCATGACCTTGATCCCAGCTTGCTCTAGCTTTCTGCGTTTCTGGATTTCAGCAGCATGTTTGTCTTCAGATGTGGGGGTTGATGCCACCTCAGCCCCCTCGGCAGGCGGCTGCTCCTTACCATTGCTGTGGGGTGACTCTAAACCAGCATCGCAAGGCTGACCCCCAAGATGCATTTGGCCAACTGGGTCTTCTTCACCCGGAGACCCTGCTTCGCTTCCCTCCTCCTCTATCGTTTCAGGATAACTAGTGAGTTGGACAACATGGTTTACCAAACTAACAAAATAGCCAGGGGAGCTAGTCATCTCTCAGCCATTCTGATACTACTTTTTACTTAAAAAAAAGTCAGAGCATGCAATATAATTTTGGTAATGTGAAGACCATTAAATAGTCTACTTATTAAAACAATGCATCACACTCTATACATTAAGAGCTATTCCGAACATGATATTGAAAGGAAAAATATTTTTCTGTCAGAAAGGGAAAATTCATTAGTTTTGTTTAAAAATTAAAACTTTTAATAAAACGTTTATTTAAGGGAAAATCATACCTAGTAAAAATGAACAATAAAGAAGTTTCCTTTATTAGAAGGTTATTTAGGGCAAGGACTTATTCATTACTGAATCCCCAAAGCATAAAGATAGTACTGAGCACACAGTAGATGTTCAGTAAATACTTGCCAAACAAATACACAGAAATTAAGAAAACCATTGCTTGTTTCTCTGAGAGAAGAGCTATCCAGTGTATTTCCCATTTACTACCACCATTTCTATGTGTGATTATGAAGGATGTTCCACGTATTGCTTACATCTTGATGGACATGCATAGATATTTTAAGAAGTCTTCTTTCACATAAAATGTCCTCTACAGCTAATCTAACAGGATCAGGAGTTATTCTTCACAGAAAGACATGGAGGACAGATCTGTTCTCTTGCCCTGTCAACACAACTGGCTTCAAAGATCCACTCATTAGACAAGTATTTGTTAGATACCTACTGTGTGCCACGTGCAGACGAAGGTATTTTGACAAAGCCATCACTTGATCATAATCATGCCTACGGTCCATCCTGCCTACCTCCCTGTGTAGTCTTACATCAAAGGCCTGAAATAGTTACTTAACCTCATTCACGGCCAGGAGCTTCACTAGGAAGGGAGAAGCACAGCTCAGCCTTACCTGAAGGGCCGCTCTCCACCCAGCGGGGAGGTGGCAGTACTCCAGCTCTTCCGGTATTCCTCTCGCTCTGCTTTCTTCTTTCTCAGAGGAGCAGGGACATAGGCCGTCTGGTTGCTTTTGTTCGGGAGGTACTGATTAAAAGGCACTGCTGATTTTGGCTCACCATGGGAAGTCCGCCTTGCAGACATGTCATCCTTCTTCACATCTGGTAGCTTCCGATGTGGCAAGTCAGATTCAGAGTCACTTCCTCTCCCTGGGGAAGAGAAGGTGGATGCTGAAGAAGTATGTTTGGCTACCAGCAAGTGCCCAGTGGCACATCCACAGGATTGGGGATGCGGTTAAATCTGTGGGTTCTGGGAGTTCCTTCCTTAATCACTTAATAAGTCTAAAATATTATCTAAATTCCTCCACAATTCTGCAAAAATTATAGAAAGCTCTGCAAAAAGCTTTTAATTCTAATCAGGAAAAATAAAAAGCAAGCAACAAAATTAAAAATAAAATAGATATAAGCTGAATTGTATCTGGAAACTACAGCAAGAAACACATTTCCAGTAGAAATATTTGCCTGCTGAGATCTTGTAACTCTCAAGAGAAAAGAACATCAATTTACCAAAAGAGTTTTTACCAAGCTCCTACTGCACATCTCATATGCTGTCACACATTCTGACAAATAAGAATTACCCAGAACTTTGTCTTTGAGGGACCTTTAACCAAACCATAAAATACCATGAAGCGGAGAGATAAAGCACAATAGGAATACAGAAAAACAACCAATCTAGATTATACCAAGGATTTGCCTTCCAAGAAGCGATGGGGTGGATATCCCCCTGGCTCCCAGAGCTGGAGACAGTCTTCTCTTCCTGTGACTTTTATGGCCCTCTGATCTTGTCTTCCCTTCCACGGCATTATCTTTCCTACCTTGTTTGAGGAACAAGGGCTACAAAGTGGTCACAGTAGTCTTCTTAACCCCACTGTCTTTGCGTGTACACACAGCACTCATCTTCAGATTATTTGGTCAATAGATGCATTGGTTTGGTTTAAGGGTTGGCTCAGACAGTGCTAAGGAATTCAGTGTTACTAACATCAGCCTTCTGTCGGACAATAGCAACAATTATTATACTGTATTCTTGTTTCCTCTCATTTCATCTCATTACGTTTTGAAGACCTTTTAGAACGAAGCTATCATTATAACAAACACTATCATATACGTAACTGCCACTTTGATGTTGGTTGAAAATTCTTAACGAGTGACACCATTACATTCTGTAGATAATATAGAAATGTATCTATACTTACACAGAGAGCCTTCACCCAAGAGCCAAGCTCACATGACAGCATGGCATAGTGGTTTATGTCAGACCCACATCATTTTGAGCTCTGCTACTCATCAGTCTCATGAGATTTTATACGTATTATTTCCCAAGTGTTTTCCAGTCTGGAAAATGGGATAGTAATATCACCTGCTTCACTGGACTGTAGGGAGATGAAAACTATCGGTACAGTACTTGACACCAAGTGTTCAACAAATGCTGCCTACTTGCTCTGTGCTAACAGTTCCGGAGCTATCAGAAATAAGGTGTGGGGCTCCTAGACTCACCCGACACACTTTGCTGTCCTTTTCTATAAAATAGGGATAAGACGATTTTCCCTGGATGGTAAATGATATAATAGCTTTAAAAAGACAGTAAAAGTTAAAAGCATTGCCCATAAACAACAAGCTCATTGTTGTATGTGAAATATTCAGATTATGAATTATTCATGTGGCTTGCTTCCAGTCTCCCTTCTGAAATTTTGACCATTTCATTACTTGCTAGTATTCAAGTATTAGCATTCATTACTTGGCCCTTTCTTTTTCCCCAGTTCTTTTTAACTGTTTCAGTGTCTAATAAAATGTTTACAGCTCCCTGTGAATTGCTTTATAAACAAACACTAATACTGCCTTGCCTTGCCAAACTCATAGATTTGTTTCCCCACTTGATATTATCCTATTTTATTAAGGTGGAAAAAGAGCTCAGAGAGGTCAAAGGAGCCCTCTCTCCATGGCTGGGTAGTGACAGAGCTGAGAATCTAGTTTTTGTTCTCTGGACTTCCCAAGATCGTTCCTTGGTAACACACTTCTCTTGGAAAAATGTTGTCTGTTTAAACTGTCCGAACTGGGGGGAAGTATTACACTGTACTGAATAACTGAGAATGATTCTTAAATCAACTGGATTAGAGTTGTCTCAGATCCTCCAGTTTTAAAGTCCTTTAAAGTAGGAAGCTTATTTGTATACAGTACTTAAAACATATCTATAACATGCTGATTAAAAGTCTCAAAATGTTGTTTCACACATAAGCACGTCACTTTTGCTCCCAATTATTCTTTGATGAATGTCTTCAACAGACATTTCAAGAAATGCGAGCTTGTGAGTATCTCAAAGCAGGTGGCTGAGCTGAGAGAGATGTAGTTTTATGTGCTTAGAAATTAGGCTCTCATTTCTGCTCCGTCAGGCAGTAGTTCTGTGACCCTGGGAATTTAAACTCTTTGAATTTCCTCACGGCGTGCACAGAGATCATAATACCACTCTCCGTGAGTGTAAAATGAGATGACAGAAAGCGCCGAGGAAGAGGCTGCCATGGTACACCTTCAGGAGGTCATCTTACCTAAGGCTAGGACTTAAAGATTTCACTCTATCTTACCAACAGGACATTTACTAGGGAGGCTTCTCCACGTATATCTAAAGTTAGAAAATGAAATGGCACAGCATGATGGTATTGTTTATTAAAGTCTGATCTTCCTTTCCATGAGGCTATTTTTCTCTCCTGTCCAGCAGTTGGGGGACTCTATTTCTTTAAATATATCCTTGTCATATACAGTATAGTCCTAGTGCTTTGCTTTTGAATATTTCTCTACCACTTTAATTTATTCAATCCTTATATCTCTCTTTTAATATCTTTCATATAAAAGAATATTCATTTAACACAATGCACCATATTTATAAAATATGGCATTAATTTAAAGGTAACTGAGTGGAAGATTTTGCATCTCCTCTCCAGTGAAACTCATTGGGGTGCTGATGAAGGTGAGAGAGGAACTGGGCACCTAACTAGCAAGAAAGATTGGCGAAATCAACCCAGAGATTGATGACATTCCTGTTAGCAATCTCTGTGTCCAACTCACAGAACCATGGCACCTCCCATGTATGTACCTCTTGACTATCTTTTCTGAATGTATCAGTGGGTGTCAATGATAATAAAATAAAAGGTCTCCATATTGATCCAATATAGAGTTGAAGAATTTCATGGTAGGTCTTTGTCTAAGTGGTTGTAAGTCCTAGAAAATAAATTTTCAAGACTTAAAAAAAAGTTCTTCCAAATTTGGAAGTGTTTATTAGGACTAGCAATCTTCTTGATCAGCATCATTTGAGAAAACATACCATAAACCCTTATGAAATCCAACATATATTTGGCTAAAATTATACTCCTTTTTTAAAAGGCGGATTAAAAATGTGTTGTTTTCTTTAAAAACCTCATTAGGTCTTGATTAGTTTACAGGAACATGAGCCTTAAGGTACCACGCTGATTGGTGAAATGTGTGTAAGATACTCTTTCATGATTGTGTTTCATAAAGTTCAATTCCATGTTATTCTTTAGAAGAGGAAATTATTTATAAACAGACTCTAGTTGATCAATCTTAATTGTTGCAAACTAAATTGTACCACAGTACATATTAGTATAATATTAGTAATCACTATTTTAAAATCTCAAATTCTTTCAAGATGTAGTTTGTTACTAATTCTGAACCCCTTGAATCTGGTGACATAATAAAGAGTCTTAATCCCAGCACTCAGGAGGCTGAGGCAGGAGGACTGCTGGGAGTTCAAGGCCAGCCTGGGCTACAAGGAGAGTTCAAGGCCAGCCTAAGCTGCATAGTGAAACCCTGTCTCAAAAAGATAAAAAATAAAAAAGTTTAAAAAAATAAAGCATCTATATTACAAGGTACAAAACACCAATGTGAAAAGAAATGCAACAATTTTTAAAAGCAATTGAAATAATATGGATGAAAAAGTTGGTTAAGATACGTTTTGTAAAAGCGAATCTACTATTTGGTCATGTTAAAGCCTAATTAGATCATTGAGTTGGTATTTAACTTCAAGTACTGTGAGTAGTACTTCAGATGACAAATAAAACTTTAGAAACGTTTTTCAGTTAGCTTACAGTGAACCATGGAATCTTTAGGAGTCGTATATTACATGGCCCAAAGGCTAATCTATTTGCTAGAAAGTTTAAGTCCTAAATAAAAGCATCAGTTCCATCATTTTAGACTAAAACATCTATTACACAAAGATAAATTATGCTTAAGGGCATAGTAAGTTTTGAACTCACACTCTTTAGGGCTAATATTATTAGACCATTTTACTGACAGTGATTTTTGCCACTCAAAAATGTTGGGGCAATTACTTAACATTTTGAAGGCTCATTTGTAAAATAAGGATAAGAAGGAGAGTCTCACAGCTCAATAGGAGAATTAAGTAAGATTCTATGACTCTCCAAATCTGTGTTGAGGATTAAACAAGATACTGTATGTGGAATAATGCACTGAGAAACCCGGGTACATTAAATAGTTAAGTATTCTAGTCATACAATTTTATAGCCAAAAGGGGTCTTTTAGCCTGCTCTCAGAGAGTGGGCATAAGTCCAGATAATACCATCAACCAAGCAATACATAAAAAATAGAAACAACTAAGCTTCTACTAGCCTTGGTGTCTTTCCACAAAGCATATACAAACAGAGGCAAGCCACATTCATTTTCTATAGCCACAAAGATGCAAGATAAATAAGGCAGGCACTTAATTTATATCAAGTTACAGGACCACACAGTTTTATAATGAAAAATGTTCATTCCACACAGGTGATATAAAATCCACGGGATTTAAATCAAATCCAGTCTCAGGGCAAACAGGCAGCTTTGGTTGTATACAGCACATTAGCTGGCACCTGCACTGTGCCAGCCAACCGGCCAGGTGTCAGAAGCATCAATAGATTGGCAAAAATGTGCCAACAAAAGTTGTGTAACCCCCAGCTTTGGAACTTTCATGAGCGTATATGATACATTTCCCATTTGCTGGAAGTTGGTCCATTTTCACTGAGACAGTGTGGTATTCACTCCAACATTTCCCTTTCTCATACCCAGAGTATATAAACTTTACTACACTGTATGAGCTAATGGTCTGCACACTGTCTTGACTCACTGAGGCCAAGGGAGAAATGATGTAACACATTTTCCAATAGAAGATATGCTCACTTGTGTGATGTTCAAATACACTGCTGGCAAAGACAAGCAGGATTCTCAGAACCATAAAAACCAATATTCAAAGATTTTTTCCACCAGCTTGTAGAATTACTGGGTTGTAGCAAGGTGGATATGCAGTCTACTTTCCCAGCAACCATGCAGTCCCCATTAATGGTTAATTCTAAGATTTGCGGCTTCCGGTGACTCCAACCTACCATCGCTGCTTCCCCTGAGCACTACATCTGGCGAAGGTGTCTGCCGGGAGCGGGAGCCAAAGGAGTCCAGGCTGTCGAAGGAATCATCCCTGCCATGGCGAGGAGGGGAGAGGGAGTCACTGCGCTCGGAATCCCAGCAATCAATGTAGCCACTGTCTCGGATACTGCGTTTAGGACTTTCAATGTCATCAGTCTCCTGCCCCAAAACAAAACAAAAGAATTACAAACATCACCTCAAGAGACACAGAGTCTACAAGAGCAGGAAAATTGTTTCCAAAAATCCTACACATCAAACTAGTATGGAAAGGCCGTGGCAACCAGCTATAGGAGTCATTAGCATCTACAGGTTCCTTAAACTTTCCTGGCCATATTTTCTTAACCTGAAAATCATGCACAGCATTAGAAAGAATCCTCAAGTATCATACACCACGATGTTCAAAAAAAGCAAAAGGAATGAAGAAAAAAGGATCCCAAAGCTTGGATTTATAAGAATGCAAAGATTAATGAAAGCAAAAGCAAGAAAGCAAAACCTTAACCTTGACTTGTCTTTCAGAATCCATAGCTGCATGTCTGTCGGGGACCGAGCCCCTAGTTTAGCTGGGCAACTGCTTCTGCTGTCTGGCAAATGCAGGCGGCATTTGTTTTTGCAGCAGAATCAGCTCCGTAAAATCCTGGAGCAGCATGTTTCCATCTCCTGCTACCTTGGAGGGAAATTCCTGCTCTGAAAGGGAGCTGTCTCTCCGAGGCAAAATGTTAAAAAAAAAAAAAAAAAACAAGGCAACGAAAAATATGCAAAATGCTTTTCCTGATGCCTCAAAAGAATCCAGGCATGCTTTCGCTCTCGACCAGCTCTTGGCGCTGAGGGAGCCCAAAGCACTTGGGGCTGACCCACATGTTCGGAGCAGTGAGAACAATGGCTGTCTTTGACAGCCTGTGATTATAAATTCTTTCCAGCACAAGCAGCACATACTAAAACACTGAAACTCCAGCAGAAGAAAGGTCAGTCAAAGCCATCCTCACCCTCAGATTATAATAAAAGCCTTATTCCCGCCAGTGTCTTAGCATTCATCAGGATAGTGCAGGCTGACGAAAACAAAAATAACTCCAGTCACTCAAAGATAAACCTCAGTTTAATATCCTCCAGACTGCTGCTTAAAATCAGGACTGTGGATAACACCGGGAGAGGGACATGTTCTCATCTACAAAGATGGAATGTCACACTGTGGGTTTCCCGGGACGCACATGAAGGTCCCTTCTGCGCTCCCAGTCAAAAGGATAAATAAATAAATACTCTCCGTATTAGCACTTTTGGAAACTGGTCGAGACTGTCTAAGATGCCCACGGGAGTCAATGTCTTTGTAGGGAGTGATTTGCTGGCTGCTTCTATCAATTATATCCGGATCCTCTGACACATTCACCAGTGGGGGGGGTTTAAGGGGATGGAGTGGCTGTAATTCTCAACAAGCACACAGATTTTGCATCAGGAGAGGGGAGTGGGTGAGAGGACAAAGGCAAATGGAGAGGAGAACCGTGCAGCCTCTGCACAAAGGACCTGGTTAACGCCCCTGAAGAATAGGTTGTCAAATGGCCTGGGTGAGCACAGATGACATGACCCTCCCCAGGAAGGCAGAAGCTCCAGCTATGGAAATCAAGGTAGTTTCCTCGCAGGTCTAAAGTTAACCAGGATTTGAAGCAAAATCCAGGCCCAAGAGCTAAAAAAGGAAGAACTTGTGGCTCACAGAAAAAGTATAGACCGACATCTTTGGAAATGTGAACCATGATCTTGAAATATTTATCTGTTAAGACTACACCATATGGATAGAAAATGAAAGTCACTTTTTTTGAACATTTATTGCACGTCTAGGGCTGTATGAGATGCTTTTTGTACACGATGGTGTTTGGTTGTCGCAAGCACCCAGTGATGCGGTTAGCACGGTCCTTATCGTATAGAAGAGAAAAATAAGAAGCAGAGAGCCTGAGTAACTTGACTGAGATCACACAGAGAGTGGCAGAGCTGTGATTCTAAAACAGGATTCTTGCTCTAAATTCCAAACGGTAAAACCTGAAAACAGTCAATCTCACCTTCGATGCAGTTACAGCTCTCCCATCAAATCTTCTCTAACGTCAGGATATTCTTCTCTGCCACTGGGTACTTATATCCCCTTTCACTAGGGATAGTGCTAACCCACATGATGCCCTTAGCTAAATGTTTTTTATTACTAGTTCACTCAGCTCTAAATTTTGCATAAGAAACACCGCTTGGGGTAATGCTTAAGAGCATGGTAGGAAGCCAGACTGAGTTTAAATCTTGGCTCCATCCCATGCCAGCTGTGTGACCTCAGGCAAGCTAATTCACCTTACCAGTCCTCATCTGTAAAATGGGGCCAGTACTAACACTTGTCTCCCAAGGATGCTAGGAGAGTCAAATGTGTTACTATATTGAAAGCATTGGGAAGAATGCATAATACAGAATAAGTAATAATATTTGCTATAGATATAATTAGTGTCGGGCCGGGGATATAGCTCAGCGGCACAAGCGCGTGTCTGGCAAGCGCAAGGTCCTGAGTTCAATTCCCGGTACCAAAAAAAAAAAAAGATATAATTAGTATCATTTACTCACCAGGCATATAAATTTCTGTATACAAACTGCACACTTGTAAATTGAGTTAGGGAAACAACTTTACACACACAGTACTCTTTTCTCTACTTCTCCACTTATATCCCATATCTATAAGTCCTGGGCCCAGTTTCCTATCGGAGAGGGCAGACGTCCAAGAATGTGGGCCGCTGGTCACCTCAGGAAGTGACATGCCTACGAGTTGCTTGGTGCAACTTTACAAAACTGGATTTTTGAAAAAATATCAGAAAGGTTTTCCCCAAGGCCTTTCCACCCCCACCCACAAACCACAGGAGAAGAGCCAGGAGGAAAGGGAAAGTCAACATATTTCTTGGAGCTTCAGCTGCTTTCTCACAGCTAGTTATGGGAAAGAAAAACAGAAAGGCGGCCATGTTCATGACTGTGTAGACAGCCAGGAATAAATCCTTGGACCCAGCGCACAGCCTGGGAGTTGAGTAGCACAGCCAGTCTGACAGTGAAAACCAGGCAATTGTGGCTACCCTTGGCCAACCTGGTAGACCAGGAAGGGGTGAAGCAAGAGGCGGGCTCTCCACCCAGAAATAAAGATGTGGACATCCACTGCACACATAATTTTGTTGGCCTTTATTGCATCACCTAAAATGAACTTTTGGGGGAAGGGAGAAAATATTAACCTCCACAAAGGGCAGTGCAGTCTAAGCCCTCCTTTCTTGGGGTCTAACAACATTGTCTGTGCTTTTCACCTTGGAGCTGGGTAGCTTTCCTTCTTCCACAGAGCACTCTGAGCAGGGAGATAAGACTGAAATCAGTCTACTGTGCTATTTGCTAGTTGTTCTAGTAAGAATGTGTTAATGAAAAGGAGAAGCGCTACTAGCTGCCCTGAAATCTTTGTATTATTTCACTCTTTGTTCGCTCTCTACCCCTTCTGTGAGAATGAGAAGCAGCTAGGGTCAGGGTATCTGAGAAACTCCAGATGCCTCCATTTTATCTCTCAACATTTTCTGCTTCCTTTGTGATTTACAATATAAGGTAGCAAGGTCCTATTCTAAAGTGTCAGAGGATTCTAATTTTCCAGTACGATCACTTATTCTCCACCCCCTGAACTGGTTGTGGAAGTGATTCATTCCACAAATATTGACCAGCATGTTCTACATGCCAGGCACTGTGTCCTGGGGCCACAGTATTATGCAGAAATTTCTAGAAGGGAAGACAAAAAATAAGCAGAAATGCACCATGAACACAACGCTGGATGATGAATAGCACAAAACAATATGGCAGGTGGAGGGAATAGATGCTGATGGCAGTGTTACTCGTGGTTCACCTTTGCTTGCCCAACCTGTTCCCTCCTCTTTATTCCTTCTTTCTGTTAATGCCCACACCTCATGAGGCCACTCACAGTGGTCACAGTGACTGGTACAAGACTAGAACAACACATCCCCAGGAACTGTACCTCTGGGGCTGTGGGAAGAGTTCTCTTGCCTTTCGGGGAAGGAGTTAGTGGTAGTGGAAATGCTATTGGCCACATTCCCTATTACAAGAGCATGTCCACCTATAGGAGGGAGAATAAAATCAAGGAGCCATCAGAAGAAATGAGAAAAGTACAGAGGAAGAACCAAATCGATGACCTTGTAGCTCCAGTCCCTGAGATCTCTATGGTACATCTTTAATCTCAGTATTTTTGTACTAAAATTTGTTCAGCTTAAATGCCCCTCTTTTCGAGGTTTTCTCTGACATGTCCAGGCTCAGTAAAAGGCCACCATCACCCTGTGTACAGAGATCCTTCACGTATGCAGCAGCAGCAACAATCTGTGAGTACCTACTATGTGCTAGATTCTATGCAAGGGGACTTACATGCATTAGGCACATGGCAGAACTTTATGAGTTTCCCTATAGTTCGCAATTTTATGTGTATTTCTTCCACTAGAAAATTGAGTTTAAAATATTTCTGGCTATTCTGCTTTGTGAAAGAAAATGTTTTAATTAAATGTTTTAATGTTTCAAATTTATTTCAGCTTAAATATATACAGAAGAGACTGTAGTATTCCCTCAATATTTGTCATCCACTCCTTTAGCAAAAATATTCACAACTTTCAGCTGAAGTAAAGTTCACATTCCCTTGTGGTTTTTTGGGTAGGTATGAATATGTGACTAAGTTCAAGTCAACAGGGGGTTGTTTTAGTATATTTGATGCTGCTATAGGGAATGGCACACACTAGGTAATTTATAAAGAAAAAAGTATTTCTCATTGCTTGGAAGCCTGAGAAGTCCAACGTCAAGGTGCTGGCTTCTTGTAGTGCCTTCATAAAAATAATGAACCCACTCTGGCAATCATAACATTAATGTATTCTTGAGGGTGGAGGCTCTGTGACCTAATCAGCTTTTAAAGGTCCCTCCTCCCAATATATCACAGTAGCAATTAAATTTCAACATCAATTCAGGAGGGGACATTCAACCCATAGCAAGGACGCAGTGTGTAACATCCCAGGAGTTTCTTTTAAGAGAAAATGTAGACCCTTGCTCCCGCATTCCTCCTTCCTCCTGACTTGAACGTGGACATAGTAGGAAAGCCTAAGCAGTTATCTTGAACTAGCAAGGGACAAGGCATGGTGGTGCTGAAGACAGAAGAACCCGGGGCCTTCTGTCCTGGGACAGACGTGGAGCGCTCATTGCAACCCTGCACTTCTCCCGTCCAGGCTTTATTTCTATGAGTTAGCAATATGCACCTTATCTTAGCTATTAGTAGGAGTTCTTTCCCACTCGAACCCAATCCTAAGTGATAAAATGAGATAATAATTTATAGATAAAACAACTATTTCCAGCTGCTTGGGTAGATCAGTGAAGTTCAGGTCATTTACCCTCAACTTTGTATAGTGACAGGGTGTAGTGCAGCTGGCCTTGTTAGTGACAGTCATGCTCTGTTTAGGGATTTGAACCACATCATGTCCTGCCACGGAATTAAAGAGGGTAACGGCTATTAACATCAAGACACTACAAAGGCAGCTGAAGTAACTAACTGTCTCAGAAGGAAGGGAAACGGAGAGAGTAGAAGGAACTAATAGCTGGTCAGATTATAGAGGAGCTGGGTTAGTGGTGAGAACATTCAATAATGAAAATAAACCAAATTCTACCAGAATCCAGCAAGGGAACTGTGAGACAGAGCTTTGAACAGCTTAAAACAATGACCCATACATTATTGTTCAAGTCCAAATTTAACATAAAAATAAACATTTAAACTTCTCCTATCCAGGCTAGAACTTTGTAGCTTTGTTCAGGATGGTGTGAGAGGAAAAAGTAAAGGACAAATGAGAACTAGGACTAAGAAACAACATGTTGTGCTTTGTCATGAGGGTGTGTTTATTTTTACAAGAATTTCGTTTAAAGAACTTTGTTTATATGTGTCGTGATCAGTATGAAAGCTTTGTCTATTTATCAGCACATGAGCCAGACTGGCTCTGGCCATATGTAAAGACTATTAGTTTTAATTTAAGGAAAGAAGAGTAAAACATGAGAAAGGTGGAAGAAATTTCTTGCCTTAAGTATTAAAAGTTGTAAAGCACTGAATATCTCTCAGTGAGGTCTTATTTGTTCCTTTATTTTGTATGCTAGGGAAATGAGAAAGAGCAAACCTCAACTATTGTGCTATAATAGATCCTGAACCGAGATACATGAGTGCGGATTACTAATGCTTTGGACAAATTAGATATATTGCTGAGCCTCAGGAAGGAACACGCGGGCAGGTCCACACAAAGCATTCCACTGTTTCCTTGGCAAGATCCTACCTTACTTTTTCCCATAATCAAATAAATAAATCAAGCTTTTAATAATGTTCACTCAAAATGTCTTATCAAATAAACCAATCAAGCTTTGCATATATTTCCCAAATTTCTAGGTCATTCAAATACAATGGTCATAAGAAACACATAGCAGAACAGAACGCTCCTCATTTAGCAGAGCTAGTCCAGGGCAAGTGCCGAGGCCAGAACTCGGCTAGCATTGCTCACCCACACCAAGGCCCTGATGGACAAGCAAAATGACCTTTAGGCTGGAAGTGCACAGCACATGTGTATTTCTGTATAATACTGCATTGTTTAACTCAAGCCTATTCCTCCAAGAAAACAAGCTCCTTTGCATACAAAGCTATATACTGACAGATTCAATTTGCTCTTTTGGAATTCAAGTTGGGTCCAGCTCAAATCTTCCATTCCCCAAAATGTATTAAAATCAAAGGCAAAGACGTCATTGGTAAGACAAATAGTCATTTCCTTGAACATGTGACATCTCTGGCCTGTATAATTTCACCACGTGGAACTGTAATAATCTTAAAAAACAAGAAAATGTGTCACCTTCCTACCTTGTTTAAACCTCATGGAATAAAGAAGAAAAGCCAAGTTACCTTTCTCATCTGAGCCAACAATCCTTCAAACTCTTTCAGGTTCAGTGTAGTTCCACTGTAGGACGTACAGCTGTTTGCAGCTTTCCCCAGCCAGTAAATGGTAACTAATACCTGTAGAAGAAAACAAAGCACCCGAGCAGGAGAACATGTCCTCACAGATGATGTTGAAGCTGAGGACTCAATAGTCTCTACTAACAAGCAAGCAGGAAGGAGGGAATGAGCAAGGCTTATTTACAAAACCTCCATGCATGAGGGATCCATTAAATGCAAAATCATTTTAATCAGAACCACCCAATGCTGCCTCCATTAACAAAACCTGAATCCGTAGTTATAATAAGACTCCAGTTTTAGGAGAAGTTGGGTTGTGAGAAAGTGATCCCTCAGACAGTAAAAAGGAAAAATAAATCCTCCAAAATTATTTTCATGTAGTGGTTTCAAAGTTAGGCAGCAACATTTTTCAGAAATTCTTTGGAGTTTTTACCCAGACAAGTAATGAAACAGACTTTCAATTCCCTTTGAAAGGGGTGATTTTGAAGGCGCATAGTTTCTATGTGTGGGCTCAGAGGTTCCCTTTAGAATAATGGAAAAAATCCCAAAGAAGTTTTAGAAGTTAAGTAGTGCTTCCCGGTACAGAATCAACACAACAGATCTGACTAACACCAGAAGAAAGCAATGCAGTAACGGATATGATCAGCACATATCTAGCTTAGGACTATAGATAGACTCTTGACATGGGGAATTTTTAGCCTTGACTTAGTTCTACCAATTAGACAACCTTGGATGTTTAAGGATTTCTATGAATGGTCTGATGCTACAGTCTTCAATGAATTTTGTTATATCTTTCCAAAGAGTCTGTCCATAAGAGCAAATGCTCTTCTTATTGACTCCCAACAGGAGTCAGCTGCGATGAACTCCTTGGAGCTGACTTATAAGAACCTAAGACCCATGTACAAGCTCAAGGCTAGCATTTCATTTTCATATTCTGTCCTACTGGTTCAACAAGGCTGAGAAGGACTTATTGTAACTTATTCCACTTGGTAGGCCAGAAAATGCTTTGGACAACGTGATACAGGTATTCGGTTTCAGCTGGCCACAGGCCCAAAATATGAGTCTGTGCACCAATGCTAGGATATGACTCAGTTTTCTACCTCTGTGGGGAAATTTTACGTTATGAATCTTCCAAGACTTCCAGAAGGTCTCTTATTAATTGATTGCTTACAAATAAATTTTCAGGGAACAGACAATTCCAAATGTCAGAACACTGGCTAGGACCATAAAATAATAATGTGTACAGAGTGTGAGCCTGTCTTGGAAGGAATAATAAGGAAATGGAGGCTAGACCATGCTGTGGTTTAGACTATGGGTTTTCTGATTTGTGTAAAATTGTATGATAAAAAATGGTACATGTCTCTAGTTGTATGAAGGGGAGAAATAAGAAGATAAAAATGAGAATGTCAATTAAATAGCATTTGGGAAATTAAAAAAAAAAGAGGTCACAGCTAAGTTTTCTATTTTAGATATAGGTTACTTCTTATAATTTCCAATTTAAATTTAAAATGAAAAGCATGAATACAGTTGCTATCTGAAGATAAGATTTAACTCCAAAAGGTGACTTAGTCAAAAACTAGTAAGAACTCCAAAGGTAAATAGGAAAACAAAATTCAAAAAGACAGGGCCATGGAAGTCAACACTATTCATATTATGCCGATTATGTCCTAAAACAGTTTGCCCGATTGTTTAATTTAATAATCCCATCTGGACCCACAAATGGAAATCAGCTAATGTTAATGTTGAGCTGATCATTTTGTGTTTTAAGAAATGGAACCAGAAACAGAACACAAGCTTTCATTTGTTTATTTCTGGATTGAGCACTTAATTAATTAAAGAGAAAGTCTCCCAAATCTACTATTTCTAGTTCTCTCAGAGTCATTATTCTATAGAGATAATATATATTTCTTTTCCTCAGAAGGACTCTTTCCAGAAAGTCTATGAGAGGTATTGAATTTAACTAAATTTTATACTGTACTTGAACCACTGAAGTAACAAGAGTACAGAAGGAAGTTAAAACACTTACATTTTTCAGTTTCCTAGTATAATCAGGGTTCCTAGGTTAAAAAAAGGAAATGAAAGAATATCAGATTAGCCATTTCTTCACTGTGATCACTCCTTAAACCCTCTGAGATGACCTTGAAGTGAACACATAAAAGGAAATACAAGAATACAGTTAGTTTTTAAAGGCCTATGACTGGAGATTTCAGGCACTGAATAAAATTGTTTATCAAATAAACAGGACAAGGTTGGAAAAAAGTTGCACCACGCAACAGGAAAAGATGAACTTTGTTACATCTGGAAAATGAGGAATTCTGTTTAGAACTGTGACTATTTACATTAGAATTTTCAAAGCTTAACAGTTGAAGAGTCTGCCTTGGGTAAAATCTGACTGTACTTCCAAAATCTTTGTGCAAGTATTTTTAAAGGTCTGAAACCTTAATTAAATAGACCTGAAGTTATGTGTACCAGAAGCAATACTATCCAAATATTTGTTCTTTTCTACTCTGGACATAAATTAACATTGGGAATTAGCCCAAAACATGAAAATATGCATGTTATGTTCAAACATACACACACATTCTCAAATATCATGTTTACTCTTTAACTATAAGCAACAAAAGTATACAGGAAAACATTAAAATTTCTCCAAAAGTGTGTCAGTTTTATATTAACATGTCAATCAATAAATGTTAAAAGAACTGCTGCATCCTTTTCTTCATAGTAACTTCATTAAGGAGGGCAGAAATGTAGAAATTGTATCAAATAAACCAGTAAAGAATTCCAGAAAGTATTTAAACTCTGATTACTTCATTGCAGTGTATTCTGCCCAAACTGCATAAGAACAAGTGGGTGGGTAAATTCAAGTTAACTGAGATTTAAAGGACTAGTACACTACAGAGGAGATAAACCCATCAAGCACTTGGATTAAAAGAAACATTGATCCAATTTGGATTGGATTAAGAATATGTTTTCATGGTTTTGGTTTTAATAGAAAAGTAGTGTGCAATTAATGGGAAAAAAAGATATGCCATTATGTGCTTAAACATCTACTAAACTTTTTTTCAAACAAAAATTTCAAGTCTTTTTAACAAAAAAAAAGCAGACTGAAAAAAAAAAAAAACCTATAAAAAAATCCAAACTTTTTATGTAAAACTAAGGCCACTGACCTAGGGAGCTGCAGACCTAGGACTACACCCTGATCTCCTGAGGCCTCGTTTTTTGTATGTGAGCAAAATGATTTATGCATTTCTAAAACCAATCAGCCATGGACTCCCCTAGCTTAGTAATTTATTGTTAAAAGTGGCTTGAAAAAACCCAGCTGCAGCTGCAACACTCAGAGTGAACTTTACTTGATCCTCCAAGCAGTGTGTGTGTGTGACTAATTACTGCCCCCAACATGGCACAGTTCCTATTGTTTCGGTCACTCGCCACTAGGTGAAACTATGAACGTCAGATAAGGAAAACCTAAAACGATTTCCCCAAATGAACAAGGACTTACAGAGGCCAGACTTAGGTACAGTAATAAGTGGAGCATGTGATATGTAAAATGAGGGTTGTGGTGGTTTTTATATTCAAATATGCTAATTTTTATTTCATGGGTTTTCTACTTAACTAATTTTTCCATGACAAATATTAAAGAATGGCACATTGACAACAGACAAGTAATTATAGATGATCAGTCATAGTTGATCTCTTCCTTATTCTCAGTCATGAATCATAAAATCTAATATAAACCGCCAAGCTTTATTTTACTAACAGGTCCCATTTCCCTCTGTATCCCCATTATATTATTATTGTTGTTGTGGAATCAACATCAGCAAATACTACAGAATTAACAGCTCTGAATTTGGGCTTCTCTCTCTTTTCTGTTTTTCCATAATAAAATGACCCCAAAAGTTTCCAATCCGCAGACCCTACCTATGCAATTCAGCTTATTAGTAAAACACAGTCTTGTCAAATATTGCTTAGTTGAGGTGGGAAGTGTTTCATAGGAAATCAGTAGGCTCTGAACATCTAAACTACAAGAAAGTGACCTGTGCCATCTCATTGGGACATTTCCTCTCCTTACCCTAGTCACAAGCTATTTCTTTACACAGAAGTACAAAAGAAAGAAAAGTGCTGCCTTCTCTTGCACTCAGACATTCTTCTTCTCCAGGAATACTTTGGTTCCGACCTTGGCTCCCTGACTAGATACAGTCAATAACAGCCAAACGGCCAAGGATCCATCTCCACAGAGTTTGATCACTGACACATATGGGAAAATAGTTACAAATGGAAATGAAGGAGAGGTTTCTCCTTAATGTAATTTATTTTTTGCATAATAAGCAGAGTTCAGAATTGTTTACCTCATTTGTGGTCTTCCAAGAGCCTATTCAAATGCCCAATTGGAGCCAATAAAAGGTTTCTGTGCATACTTTGCTCTTGCCTCTCTGTTAAACTTTAACATTTTTCTCTTCTTCAAAATTCTAACTCTATACATACGACTCTTGTATTTGAAAAAAGTCTGTTTGATCAGAATGAAACCTACACAGACAGAAGGGCAGTGTGTCTTATTTTGAAAACTTAGTTTGTGCCTTCATATTTTTATTTTATTAGGCATACCTAATTCTCTGCCTCTTAGAACTTACAAAATCATCATAAAACTGCAAACCAAACCATCAAGAAGTTTCCTTTAAACATAAATCGTGCATTACTTACTTGACTGTTACTCTGTTGGAAGTATCCTGGAGGTCACTCGGGTCAAAGAGTTGAGATTCTTTAAGGCCGAGCTCTTTACAACCTCTCAAGAATAAGATGATATTATCCTGGAAGCAAGAAAAGACATCCAAGTCCACTATGGTAGATTGTCATTATGAACCAGCCCTGTACTGTTAATAGCCCAAATTTCTGGAGGAATACCATCCACTGAGACTGCCAGAGTCGTGTCTAAATCATAATGTTGCATAACAAAACTATGCTTCGTTAGGAAATGCCAGAATAAACAGACATTTAAACTTCCAAACACACAACCATGCCAAATTCATTTTTCCATTTTAACTTCACACCTTTGTATAAAACTGCAAGTAAAATGCTATTGCAAAGAGGAAGTTAGCATCTTTTTAGGGAATAGTAATTTTTAAGGACCACATATTCTCCATTGCTTCAAAATTCTTTGCCCATTTCTTATTGCCTAGAACCAGATTCAAATTGGTATGAAAGAGATAATAGCAGTTTTCATTACCCATGAGATTTTCTCTTCTTTATCAGCTTTTCTTATATTACATCCTTATACATTCTTTTTTTAAATTTTTATTTTAAAGAAAATAGTACAAAAAAGAGAACAATAGCGGTAATATAACAACCACTGTTAATCCCTATTATTTGAAGCCCCGTATCATTTTCAACGTCCTTGCTTTGTTTTGTTTGTATTTTGCTATAGTCCTTATATATTCTTTATGGGTCTTGATTGATAATATCTTCATGGACTAAAAATTGAATTAAAAGCAAAACAAAAACAAAAACCTAGACTTACTTGAGAGTGCGATAAAGAAGAGCAAGGAAACTTTCTGAAAATAATGCAGTCTTCCCTCAAAAGGAAAATTTCCCTAGTAGATAAAAATATACTTGCAGTGGCAGAGTGGCAGGCAGGACTGGAATTGGACTGACAATTAGAGAGGGTTCTAGTTTTCCTCTGCTGTGATCACCAAGAATGAATGAATGGTTCTGAACGCGACTGAAGATGTGGGGCATCCTGGACTCCAGGGAACCAGCCAACAGGTTTATCAGTTACAGGTCTCTAACTGTTCTCTTCCTAAAAGACTTTGAAGGTGCCAGCTGACTCACCAGTTAGTGAAAACTACAGGACAGGGAATGGCAGCTAGAGAGCCACACCAGCAAGAATCCATCAGATACTGTCAGAAAGATGCTACACACATGTGAAACGACAGCGGTGATTACCAAATCAGGTATCCACCCAACTGCAGTTCAACAAAAAGACATGAAGATGTAGTATTTCCAATTCTCCATGTGTAGGCAGATTTGCAGACCCTCAAGAATCCTGCTCCCTGATATACATCACCCTGCTAGTTAATTTGAATATAGCATCTTTCCTTTTAACATATGTATATGTGTTAAACCTGACTATGAGTGAAACCTGCGAATATGGTGGGGTATCACTCTGTGGTTATATTCCTAACCAGATGGCTCTGAGTCAATCAAAAGAAAATGATCTGATTGGACCTGAGCTAAACCAAAAAAAAAAAAAAAAAAAAAATCTAGGAAAAAAAAGGGGGCTGGGGATTTAGCTCAGCGGCAAAAGCGCCTGTCTGGCAAGCGCAAGGTCGTGAGTTCAGTTCCCGGTACCGGAGAAAAACCAAAAAAAAAAAAAAAAAATGATTGGACCTGAGCTAATAAAGGGAGCTTTTAAGCAGAAAGTGAAGTCTGAGTTCTGGCTTTCTCCATGAGTTCTGTAGCTGCAAAGAGATGAATTCTGTTAACTACTGAGTGGGTTTAGACAAAGCTTGGAAGATGCTCAGATAGGCTCCCAGCTCCCACCAAAAGCCTTGTGAGACTCTGGGCAAAGAACCTGGTTATACCATATCCAGACTTCTGACCTACAGAAAATGTGAGATAATAAAGTGTTAAGTTGGTAGGTTTCTGATAATTTTTAGTGAAATAGAAAAAATTAATAAACCCAGGCTCCAAACAATGATTAAGAACAAGAGCAATAAATTTCTAACCTGTTTGCAGCCATATTATATGCCAGGCATCCTTCCAAGAGCTGCACATATATTAGCCCATTTAATTGCTGCACAGTCTTATGAGGGTGGTGCTATTCTTTCATATCCTCACTCTACAGATGAGCGAACTGAGTCCCAAAACAAGTGAGCGCATTGTCCAAGGTTATACAGCCAGCAGAGGTGGCAAAACAACACGGTGTGTCCGAGGAGCTCAAGCATGAACTCTAAGGCCAGCACCCAAAGACGAGGAGGCTATGTAGGCAGGGTGATCTACCACGAAGGGCTTGGAACGTATGGAAGGCAGGCTGCAGGGAGTCGGGCTGGAGGGTGGTCTGTATCTGAGTCATGAATGCCAGATCTGTGGTGGAAGGAGACTGTTGGGGAGCAGAGCTAGAAGGAGGACACAGCACAAAGGAAAGACTTACGAGGGGCAAGACAGGAGACAGGCACCCAGTCAGTGGATGCTACCATCTCACTTTCCCCCACCAGATGCCTCTATCCCAGCAGGTTTTCTTTCTTGTGTGAGGCCCTGGGCTTTTCATCAGGTAAAATATGTCATCATCCACAGCCCTGTCACCATCTAGGGATCTCTTGTCAGCTGACTGATGAGCTGGTCACACCATATCTTCTTTATTTTCCACATTTTTTCAATGATCAGATTTGGGAGTGTCCACCCACCCCCTGGGGTTCCAGTTTACCACTTTCTTACCGATATATATTTCATTGGTTAACTTTGTCTTAGGGAGAAAAGAAAGGCAAAGCAAGAGAAGAAAAAAGGGGGTCAGAGATACATTGAGTCTTTTTTAAACGACCCAGGTGTCTCTGCTTATACAACGATCACCCTGTTAGTTAATCTGAATATAGCATCTTTCCTTTTAACACAGTCATTTTGCCCAGGATTTCTGTTACTATATGTGAACTATCTATTGTACCTTTCAGATACTTCACATATAGTAACAGAAATATTGGGACAAAATGACTTTTCTTCAATTCCTTTTCAGTCCTCTTTTTCCCAGTTAATTTTGTTATCACAAAACATCTCCATTTATCAGTGAACCGGGTATGTCAATATACTCGCTTCCAGAGAATTTGTCTTTCCTCGGTTCCCAGACCTGCAGATTGCACCACAGCGCTGCCCAGTGTCAGCAGAACCAAAACACTTTCTCCCTGAAATTTGGCGTCCTTACTGCAGTGGAAGAAGCAGTCTGAAGATGAGGAGCACTTGAGGATATCTGTTTGGTACATTTCAGTGTAACTGCTTGGACAGAAAAAAGAGGAGAAAAAAAGGAATAAAAATATATTTATAAGCATTTATTGATATAAGATTGCTATAAGATTGTTGAAAACTGGGAAAATACTTTGTGAGAAAAAAGCCTTTGTTTTTTAAATTTTACTGACTATTTTAAGTCAAGAAAGTAGGTGCAAGATCAATGAAGGTTTTAGCAGTCAGAAGACCAGTTTTCTGAGTGAGGTGAAACACTTTGTAATTCACTAAATGTACCTTACATTCACTGAGCATTTACCATGTGTCGGGTTATTCTATGAATACATGTGAATTATCTCTTTCATCCTCAAAACAAAACAGGTACCAGGTACTATTATGGTCTCCATTTTACAGATCAGCAGTTAAGGCCCAAAAAATTATACACCACACCCAGTCACTCAGCTCCTGGGTCTGCCCCTCAGCTCAACACAACATGTGGAAACAAGATTTCTCTACAGGTGAAAAACTGAAGTGCAGAGAGCTGACAGTTCCTCCTCTCATGTCTCCAGTTTTTCTGTGTCTTATTTTTATTCTGTCTTCCTGAAACTTCAGTTTTAAGTCTTTCTTTTTTTGTTTCCTTTCCTCATTCACTCTGATTTTCTCCTTCATGTCTGTCTGCCTCTCCCACGCACCCCCCACCCCACACCCTCTTTGATTATTTGGCTCTGAGACCCTCAACTGGCTCTCACCCTTGACCAATCCCGAGGAAACGATATCCATAACAGGCACACCTCTCAAGTGGTAATTCTCTGAAGTGGTAATTCCCCACTTCAGGAATAGTAAACAAACAAATCTTTTAACTATGGAACAAGGCAACCCCAAACCAAGACAGTGACTCATACAGATGCTTAGGTGAGTACCCTGGATGGGCCTGAGAGCTCTGCATTCCTCTTGCCCAGAGGAAAGCGAAAGGATGGGTGCTATCACTCTCTAGGAATCATGGGAAGACACAATAAAGGACAAGACCTGTGACCCCTATCCATAATAGATGCACGATGGCGGCTCCCCAGATTCTTAGGAAAAGCAAGAAGGCGCATTCCCAGAGGCACACACCGCCCTGGAACCCGACCACCGCTCAGCACACAGCCTGCATACATGACAGCTTTGTGCTGCAGCCAGCCCGAACAATTAGGGCTGCAGGACTTAAATAACTGCAGGTCTGTTTCCAGCGCCTTGCTGCAACCTAATGACGCTGGAGGGGAGCCAGGCCCCAGGCAGGAGAAGAGCCAGAAGGACGAGCCACCCAGCCAAGAGCTAACAAGAACAGCCACTGGACCAGGCAAGGACTGTGCCTCTAATTACACAAAACACATTCTGAAAATTCTCATCTGCCTTGCTCTTCACACTGAGATTCTTTCCACATTTGCAATTTCAAGTGAAACCCACATCTTAATGTTTTACATCCAGAAGCCAAATAATGTTTCAATCCCAAGAGAAAAGTGGGAGACACTGATTAAGTACAAGGACTGTTACATTTAGCTCTCACTAGTGCAGAGTTCTCAAACCCATTAACACTTCGTAATCTTTACGAGAAGTTTGTAAAGCACTTTCCAAAAGAGCCAGTGTCATTTAAAGGCAAAAACTGGTGATTAATGAGCCATGCGGAAGAAATAAATGAATGACCCTAAACTGGAACCTAGATCTAAAACGAAGTAAGGCTAAAAGTCAAATTTAAGTATGGACTATATATTGACTAATATCATTTAGTGAATGTTAATTTTCTTAGGTGTGATGATAGTAATGCAGCTATAGGAGGCTGGTTTTATTTATAAGCATAAATCTATGATTTAGGGTGAGTCTACAATGTCTGTAACATAACTTT